CCATTAATCAATCTTCGGGATAAAATAGTCATCCGATACAGACGGTCCGTCAATGGTTCCCAGTTGGATGTATTTGTCATTAACAGGGGTAAAAAGAACTTATCAATGATTGTAACTATAAAATTACTCAATACCTGGCGTTTTCAAACGGACTCTATTGCCGTTAAATCGTTAGCAGAATGAACGTTACTGTCACAACACAAAAATCGTAGCATGTAACACGTAACATAGTGAAAATCGGGTTTCGCTGAATGTATGAGTATGACACCATAGGGTGCAAAATTGCGTCCCATAGTCGCATATGGAAAGTTCATAGCCATGGGTGGCACGGTCTGTGATCAGTCCTCAGTCACAGAGAGGGGGTTTGAGTGTGTATTTTTAAAGGTATACTGACTTCTCGGCGTAACTTTGATCCGTCTTCTCGGCGTCCGCCGAGCTCTCGACCCCACCGGTGGCGGACCGTATCTTAGAGAATTTCCTACAAAAGGTGACTCACCTCCATATAAGTACTCTACCTACCACCTATTACGATGACTCTGCGTCCCCGCCTTAGATCTTGGTTTTATAAGTACCCTCGACCGTTCTCCCAACGTCTCTCCCCCACTAAACGTCCCCACCGTAGGAGACGTCTTCATATACACTAAATATAGCGTAGTATAAGTTAGTTACATTGAACCTTTCGTGCTATTACCTATAAATTGAGTTAATAGTAGATCGCACTTCAGATAGACCCGTGTAGCCGATTTCGGAATTTATATTTAATTATATTCACCGCTGGTCATTAAATCGTAACTTAAATTTTACTTGTTCGATTGATTTACTCAAACAACGTGAGAATCTGGTCGTCCCCCCTATGGTCTTAGATACGTCTGACGACGTTCATTGATGTAAATTAATTGACGAGAGTAGCTCACAACATGACTTAATTATCCTATATATTTGTTAGGGTATTTTAAATAAATAAAAATGGATAGTCGACACCTAGGTGACTCCATATAAGTGTATAAGTCACAATAATAATTCTCATTTGATTAAAAAACCTCCTAAATCATACTACGTTACAAGGAGTTCTACGAACGGAGTGAGGAAGTTTAAACTTCTTCTGTTCATTAATGACTAGTATATAGTTTCCTTGTCAAGTGCGCGGGGTGCGTTGAAGTATCCTTTGCGTTCAATTTGGAACTGAAAGTATCTTCTTCTTGTTTGTAAATTTCTCACTCAGATGTGACGAGTTCAAATCCAATTTTTTGCACATAAGTCCGATTTTGTATTGTATGTAGCGACGTCAATACATAAGCGTAACACCTTATCAGGAATGATGACCCGCTCACTAATTAATGAAACCAGTTCAATACGCATTATTCTTATAATTCTTTATGAGCGCAGTAACGGTAAGGTATTTAATTATTTATTTAGAATTCCATAACTTAATAATAGAGATGGTCAAACTAAAATGGAGACATGACAGAAGTCCTACAATGAAGCGGGGCATTGAAGTGTTCTCTGTGAGAGGGCAATCAAGAAAAGAGAGTGAGCGGCCCCGTTGAGGGAGTTTATGGAGCAGATGAAAAGACACAGAAAGACAGAAGCACACGAACAGGTATATTTAGGTCCCCTGGTTTGTCCCCTATACTCTAACGCCAGGCAGGCATTTGGTGTGATCACCATAGCCATATGAATCCGGACTCGGAGGGCTTTCCTTTGCTTCCAGCTGTCAGATTGTAAACAAAGTCACGTGACTGGGGGCAGATGACAGCGCTGACAAGTTGTGTTTTTATCGCAGTGAGACGCTAGAATACTAATTGTGGGCTTATCATGTTGATTCGGCCACAATAGAAAACAAAAAAAACTCTCGCTCTCTCCAGGGGGGCAGGTCAGACAAAAATGGCAAACGGGCCGTTGCCCGGGCAACATTAGCCCGTACCTGTGCACGTCCCCGGTCGCCAACATGTGTTTTCGAGACACTGATATTTACGGGGAAATCCTGCAGGACTCAAATGCCTCGTTGCACGTTGTTTCTCTTTCAGAAACACAGAGGACTGTTTGTATGATGCGATCACAGACACGCTGCAAACGGTGTCCGCCAAAAGTCGAGTCCAGTGTCTATGGAGTGTCATTTTTATTTGTTATAGTTTGGGAAGATTGAAAATCGGTAGGGAAAGCCAGCTGAGTCGGTAGGCGGTAGAAACATGTCAAAAGCGGTAGACTACCGCCCAAATCGGTAGGGTTGGCAGGTATGAAGTATCAACATGTGGTAGCCACAAAGCTAATTATCCGTAATACCAAAATCCAGTAGAGAAATCACATAGCTTTTATCATGGGACCCCCAGCGAGGCTGGCCTACAAAACACGTCCTCACTGCACCACTCAATGCCTGCTAAACATTATCATGATAGCATATTAGCGTTTAGCTGTCACTATATCATCTTTTAAATGATTTTGATGCTCCTAGTCATTGTTGTAAAAAAGAAATGAGAAATTCCAGATGAAATTGGTGCAGCATATGGTTCTTTGCCCAACTCCCTTTTGGTACCAGGGTTTTTTCTTCATTTGTTTTCCCACTATATAGCGTCTCAGTATAGGCGGAATGCTCAGGTTTTTCCCATATCGTTGCAGTTTGAAAATGCAGTAACATCACCTTCAACGCCAGACACGCAGTAGTTCAAATGTATGGATTAGATTTGCGGGCTGACATTTTTTTTAAATCTGGGTTGATTGGATAAAATATGTGGTCACTTTGGCAATCTGTGTATTTTAATAAAACCAATGTCCAAAATGTAAATTCTCAATCGGCGCTTTAGTGGTACTGCCTCATATATTCGTCTGGATTAAAATAATAACCTCATAGATACCTTTTAGGTCACTTTATTCCATAGGTTTAACATTGCATTGCAGATGTGTTTGCAGCTGAACTATAGTAAACCTTCATTTTAAATAGCTTTTAGGTGCTTTTCTCTTCCTTTCAGCTTAATATTCAGTGAGGTTCATTTCCCACAAACATGCAGATATAGATCTATGTATTACTGGTTGTCCTAACTACTCAACATTTCAGAGAGAGAGAGAGACAGGAAGTGAGTATGAAAGAAAGGAAACGTGCCCTTTGTCTCTTTCCCAGTGTTACTCGCGCTCAGTGCTTCACTGCCTTTGAAATGTTATTAGGTGCTCCGTTTCCCAGCATGCCACAGTACAACCTGGTATCGTCAGGTTTCCGTCCATTGTTGACACGCTTGGTGCGGGCCAGCTTCAGTTGGAGACATCATTTTTTACGAACACACCAATTATGTGGAATAGATCATTTATGTGATTCATTCTGCGATGGGAGTTTATTAATCATTTATGTTTCTTACCTTTATGATTCTCTGTGGACTTGTCAGCCACTGACAACATTCATCATACAGTTATTATACACGGGTTAGGGTTATATGTATAATACATTACAGTACACTTTGTTTTTTTGCTAGGCCGTTTCTCCAATGCTTTGTTTGAAATGTATTGCAAACCTTTTTCTTTGATATCTTGGGCATCATCTAGTAAATTTATGTATTTAAAGGTTTGCCAACATAAACAACAACAAAATAATTTAAGTTAAGTTAACACCAATAATTATAGAGCGCAGAAATGAAGAGTAAAGTAATTTGGATCTGTGATTTCTGGCAATTGAACCCACAATTTCAGTCAAAAACGGCCCCTAAACATTTCATTTCACAAAGAGAATAAATAATTTGACATTATTATTGGGTAATGTATTGTAGGAGGAATGTTGCCGCACAAAAAGTATATTTTGTCGTTTTTTATTTGATTTAAATAGAACCACCTGGTTAGTTTACAGCCTGTCCTCCTCCAAAAAACTACCAGGTCGATTGTTCAGCAGCTTATTACGACTTATAGTCACGTTTTAAAGTTTAGCAGCTCTAGTGGTCGTGTAAGAAACAACAATTTGCGGCAATTGCAAACGCTCCGGAGGGTCGTATATTCACAAATAACCCTCTCTGGAAAATCCTAAATTGTGGAATAGTTTGGCGATTAAAATGCTTTTTGATTAGATTTCTTGCAAGAAGTGTATATTGTACTTTTAGAATCCACGTCCAGTGGAAGTGTAGGATCTATAGTTTGATAGATATTAAGAAGGTGATTTGAGGTCTCGCCAGGAGAACGTGTCTTTCCCCCACCAGGTGAAAACAGTATTTCCAGTCTCGAAGTTTTCAAAATAAAAGCATATTCCCCTCACTGTCAAATGATTACACAGTGATATCTGCCGTACTCATCCACTAAAAAACACTGATTATTATCTAAATTCTGATCTTGTAGCAAGCAGTATTATATTAAAATCTCATTTTAAAAGATAATTCATAAACAAACGCATCTAGTGTTCTCTGTTAGTTCAATGTCATGTCCACACCGCCCTCTGCAGGCAGTTTCTGTAACCGGACGTGGGACGGCTGGCTGTGCTGGGGAGACTCCACTCAAGGGACCATCATGCAGATGTGTCCGGAGTACTTCCTGGATTTTGACCCTGCTGGTGAGGACACAAACTGAAATACATACAAGCACAGGCACAACTGGTTATGTGTGTCTCATGTTTGTTTGTGTTGAAATGTAAATTGACTAGGGTTGGGGGGGGGGGAAATGATTCATGCAAGAATAGAGATTCTTATCTACAAAGATGCCGATTTTTTAAAAAGTTTTTCTATTTACAAAAGAGGCTAGATGATCAACAGACATCATACATACCAGGTCGAAAAGGTGTGTCAAGGACGCTATTATTGTGTGATCTGGGGAAAAATCCCACATATTATAAAAAAAATTGCCAAAGTCTAGGAATGTATTGATCAACATTTACATTTTTTGCAGTTCTTTCCCAATGTTTGCCTTTGTGTGTTTACATTATTACAATAATTTGATGTAATACAGTTCAGTACAGTTTCTTGAAAACTTTTGACTGTTTGTATAATTGCAATGTGAATGGTCCATATTATGCGCTTCCGTTTCTTATAATGTTTTTTTTAACAGAGAAGGTTACCAAAGTGTGTAATCCGGGGGGCCAGTGGTTCCACCACCCAGAGAGCAACAGAATTTGGACCAACTACACCCAGTGTCAGGCCCACACCAAAGACAAACTCAAGGTAAAACACAAGAGTGAAACTCCACAAGGGAATCAAATCACTAAGGTAGTCCGAAATATTTCACTTAAATAATCAAACATTGGATCTGAAATGTAAAATTGAAACATTAAGCAAACATATACTGTAAGAGCGATCATCCCATGTACTAAGGTTCAGATAATGGCCCTGCAAAAAATGATGATACAATTTTTTTTTTAAAGAATAAGCAAACATTTCAGTACATGACTAATTTTAACATATTATAATCGAAGAGTATATTACAGTGGTGATATTGACATGTTAATCTTAACATTAAGTGCAAGATTATTTGCTGATAATCGCTACTTTTACAGTGTAGATTTGCACCGAACCCTATGGTGTGAAAGGTTAAAGGACACTGCAACAGGGCACCCTTTTGCTGGCATGATGTGGAAATGTAATGTGAACCAACTACAGGAAACATCCCCAGAAGGGTTAGTGACATACGCTGATATCGGATCGTCACAAGTCATTGGGGCTCGGACAGCTGAGCATAACAACATGAAGTGCAGTCTTCAATTTCTGACATGCGTGTTCTGAGCTGAACACTGGAGACTGGAAAGTAGTTTGACAGTCTCCAAACTGTCAAAATCTCAGTAGGAGCAAAGGTTAGCGTGTGACTTTAATTTGCATGCCCTGATACGGTGGTGTCAGAAATCAGAATACTTTATTTGGCTAGGGGGAAATTCAATTTTCTGCTCCATTTTAGAATAAAAAAAAGAATATATATATACTGTATATTCAACATGACAAGTTCAAGATAGGATATGCAATAAAAAGATAAAATACATAGAATAAAGATGTTAATACAAACATTAATAAAGTTAAATAACCATTAAAATATATATATTAAAATACAAAAACTTTTTTATATAAACATAAGAAGTTCAATACTAAATATTCAGAATCTAAAATAAAAAATAAAAATAAAATACAATAAATACCTTATTTAAACAAGTGTAATTCAAATACTTCAGCTACTATTTAAATTGTTAACGATGTTATACTCTTTTTGTTCTATGTGGGCTTGCACATTGCTTCTTACATGAAGGGGTCTCAGGGCTGTCAAAAATCTGTCCGGTTCTGAGCATCTGTCCGGTTAAAAAAATTGCCATTTCAAAAAGAAAATTGCTATTCCTTATCGCCCATAGAGAGCTGTGCTGTACTGAGAAGAGTAAGTGCTCTTACGGTACCCCATTACCATACTGTTCATGCAGGAGCCGGCAGTGGAACTGTCTTTGTCGTATATAAAGTGTACGTTTTCAGAGAAAATGGCATTGCTCCTAGTTCATGTCTATCAAATATGTGTATACTTGCGACATGCACTGATGGGTTATAATGCAGAAAGACAGGCGAGACAGTCCTTCTTCACATTTTTTCAAAAATATAAATAAAGGTAGGCATTCTACGAAGGTTGACTCAATTGTATGTGCTCCAGATCTTGTAAATGGCACACTTTTATGCTTTAGCATCAAAAACAAAGTCGACAAAAATGTTGACATAAGTGTTGTTGTGTATGAGCAACATTACGAATGTAAGTGGAGAGGCTGGAGAAACTACAAATGAATCTTACCTAATTGAAATATTGCCCTCAAATATATTTGAAATCCTTGAAAAGGATCATATTTGGAAGTGCAACATGACAATAAGCATCACAGGAAAACTCCTCAAACTCTGTCGCAGAAAGGGAGCATCTTGCAGTCTTAATTTATTCCCCCGCCTTTACAGCCATGGAATTTAAACTCATCATTTAACATGGAAAGTTCTATCTCCGTGGACTTGTGATTTAAATGTAAATGTAAGAATCTTGCTCCTCCGATTTACAATGTAAGATTAATCATTGTAAATCACCTCATGTCTACACACTGAGTTTAACATGTCATTGAGGATTTGTTCCCAGCCCTGCACTTCCACATTTATGCATGAACGGTCTTCACAAAGTCATTTATATTGCATTTGGAAAACAACATTATGATTATTTTTTTCAGTGCGTCTAAATTCATGGCCTTTGGGAATCCTTCTGAATTTCTCCAAAAGGCTCATATTGTCTTTACAGATGTTTTCTTCATGTTTCAAAGGGCCTTTTGATGATATACAGTATAGATGTAGAGGATGCAAACACGGACACTCTCCTGAACTTTAAACATTCCTAATAATTTGTGAATTTTGTATCTTCATGAATTTGCTTGTCCCTGCAGTTTGCCATCAGTCTTTACTACCTGGCCATGGTGGGTCACGGTCTGTCCATCGTCTCTCTGATCATCTGCCTCATCATCTTCTCCTACTTCAAGTGAGTCATAACCTTTATTACAGTGGCAGTTTGTGTACGATGGCTGAGAAATGTTTGAAATGTGCCTGGAGTTCAGTCAAAATATGAAACACAAAACCTGTTATGGGGCTGAATTGGCCGGCATAAGAAAAAAAAGCATCAAGATGTTGTAATGAAGTTTACATGGAGGCTACTACAGTCAGCGGATTAATTTATCAGTGGATTTGCAGTGGAAGCCAGCAGGATTTGGGAGCATATGCTAATGAGGATAAGGAGGAAGAGAGCCGACTTTTAATTATGGTTTTAAGCAGCGCAGAGGCTGCTACTTATTCACAGAGATGTGTATGGTTGCAGAGTCAGGAGGAGAGGGAGGGACTGCGACATGAACGGAAACAGATTTCATCCAAAGTTTTAATATCAAGGGCTGCTTTTAGCTTTCAGTACCTTTTTACAAGACTCTCGCTAGCACCGTATTGTAACAAATGACGATCCAGAGACTCTTCTTAGGTCGACTTCATTTAGGACTACAAATAAAAGTTGCCCATATCAGAATTTAAAAGATTGAATGTGACCACTGACCACGGTTTGGGCCACTGTGAATGTATACCCTTACATAATGCACATTTTCCAAAGGCGTTTCCATCCTGTGACATAATGAATCTAAAACAATTTTGGGTTACATTTTGTGGATTTTTAGGGCAGGTATGGTTTGACCTACTGTATTGCAATTTCGGTAAAATGTTTTTGTTAGCAGCCTTTAAAATGAATCCTCCACTAACTGTTTACTTACTGTTTTTCTCTTCCAGGAGTCTGAGCTGCCAGAGAATCTCCCTCCACAAGAGCATGTTCCTCTCCTTCATCCTGAACTCCATCGTTACCATCATGTGGCTCTCGCTCACTGTGGCCAATAACCAGGCCATAACCGCCAGCAACCCTGTGAGCTACTGAATCTATATTTCATCCCATTAAACGAATGAATTTCACTTCACAGGCCTAATTGTCCCGTATTAAAAGAAATGACCCACACTTAACTCACAGCTATCAAACTGTGGGTGCTTTTCCGTCTGGAATTCTTATTTAATTATGCTTTTTATTCCTTCTGACATATTTTAAGACTTCCGGTTTCCTGTCCACAGGTGAGCTGTAAGGTCCTGGCTGTCCTGACTCAGTATACATCCACCTCCAACTATTTCTGGATGTTGTGTGAGGGCATCTACCTGCACACCCTCATCATAGTGGCCGTCTTCGTAGGCGAACAGCAGCTCTTCTGGTACTACGTCCTGGGATGGGGTGAGTCTGGAGGATGTGATATTTAATTACCCTTTCTCAACAATTTCAGCACAAGCATGTCTATGGCATGCAACTGTGATTTTTAGAGAGGTCGGTATCTTCGACTAGAGGGGTGAATCGAAAACAGCAAGCAATGATTTCCAACCTTATCTGTGATATTTCAGTCTTCTCATAACCATAGAACTTAGATCAATATTAATAAACAAACCAGAAGGCTATTGTAACTCAGGACGCTTGCTGACTGCTATATAAAGTTACTGAAAACACTCCTCTTTGTGCATCTCAACATTTGCATTTACTGTATATACAGTGTATTTATATTAGGGGATATGATCCTTGGAGACCTTCTCTAACTTAAACTGAAAATAAAACAATAAAAAATAATTGAAAATAAATTGTTGTAAATTAATACTTTCCTAGAAGTGCTGAAACTAAGCACATATATTTTGCCTGGTTTAAAAAACTAATGGGTATAACATCTGTTTATCTGTTTTTGTTCTAATATATCCCTACCAAAAAAAGCAGACATCATCCCTTTCTGTCAACGACAGAAATGAAACCGACTTGACGTTCCAGGAGATGGCGCAATGCTTCAATGGTTTCAGAATAAATCCCTATCTTTCTATGCAGTCTAGTAAAACAGTGTTAAATAACAAAATTGTAGTTAGATCAAATGCCATTCAACCAGAATTAGTTGAGGTCCATTGTAAACAAACTAGGTTAATTGTGTGGTAGTGAGAAGGACTCAAGAGAACTGGAAGATATCTCTCAAAACAAAATGTTAAAACAGTCAGGAATCTCCTACACAGTTCTCCAACCATAACTTTAACTTCCAACTCCAAAACTTTAATAACCTGGGTCTACAAAGATATAGCATGTATATTTATCTTTTAATTTAATTCTAAAATATAGCCTAACTAACCATCCCAAAAACCAAAGTCTGCTTTGATAAATCAAGCATTCTGATTATGTTTAAGTATAAAAGTGCGTGAGCATTTGTTACCAGGAAATCACAAGACAAATTCGAAGGGACTGCATCAATACATTAAATAACAGTTGCATTGTGGGGCTGCTTTATAATATTACGCTTGCTATACAGTAGCTCATAATACCTTTTGAGCTACACTCCAAGTGAGGAGTTGCTGTGTTGTCCTCAGTAGACACTGTTCTCAAGGTTAACAGTCCTTTAATTCAAGGGCCAAAACAGTAATTTACTTTTAAGTACACCTGAAAATATGAGAGCCTCTCTGATTTGAGACTATATCCTGTTCTTGCATTATTTTCCTACACTGAGAACATCCCATTCCCACCATCAGTTAATACATTAAAGTCACCTTGAAGCCTGGATGAACCTGTGCTTTTCCTTTTGCTCTCTCATCTAGCTCTTATGTATTAGTAATGGATTATTTTATGTCTCTCTGAGGCTCACAGCTTTTTATATCTGTGCGCTAAAGCGTGCCAGTAATGAGCATATTACATGTCCTACATACGTGCAGTGGAGGATTCGGATCCTTTACTTAAGTAAAAGTAATGAAAGCACCCAAAAATAAAAGCCCTGGATTGAACTTGTTACCTACAGTGGCAACTGGTCATTAGGGGCAGCCCCATTAGTGTCAGCAGAAAGTATTAAAATAATAATTACAAACAAATGCAAAATGCATACATCTTAAAATATATTTTACGATCATGTTTAATTATCTGATTTGTCTGTACATTGCTGTTTTAGTCTGTGTTCTTCTATTTAGTGTCTACCTGTCTGCCAATAGAGAACCGCAGTGACGCGTCCTAAGTAAGTTAGCATTTTTACCACTGCCGGTTCCTTCAACAAAAAACAATGCAATTTCTCCATAGGGTTATGGAAAATAGCTGGAAATAAGGTCTGTGGTTGACACAAATTGAAGAGACAGATCACGTTTTGTTCTACGACAATAAATACATCAGCAGTGACCCCACTGGTGATTTTTGAAGAGTTTACGTGTCTGAAAAACGATGTTTGTTAACATGTGGCTGAATAGGACTACAGAAGTTGTCGAGGCCGTATTACGTCATTACACTCGTAAACACTCCCGCTAAGTTTGTTGCCCTGTTCTGCTTGAAAGCAAGTACCTGCCTCTTGCAAACTGTTAAAACAAAAGCTTCAACTTGTACAATTTTGAATCTGTAGTTTTGAATATGGATCTTAAGTCGGCGTGACGTTGAAGCACCGACCCTGCTGTAGTTAGTTTATAGCATAACGTTAGCATTTTGCTTCTGGCGACTAGATTTATGATTCGAAAATGATAAAAGTAGGGTAGACATGTGGATATTATCAGGCTGAACAAAACGTGATCCGTCTCTTAAATGTGTTTCAATCACAGACCTTATTTCCAGCTATTTTCCAAAATCCTATGGAGAAATTGCATTGCATTTTTGTCGAAGGAACCGGAAGGAGTTTACTTCCGGGTTTTAGGACGCATCACTGCACCACTCTATTTAAGAAATGTGAAATTCAATTGATGAAATGGTCTTTAAGTCAACTACTAACTCATAAATATGACATGGTAACG